AAAAAAAAAAAAAAAAAAAACGTGGAGCGAACCAAGTCAATAGCAAATAAATTTAGTTAAGTACCACAAATAAAAAAGAGTATGAGAAAACAAATAGCTACAAAAGCCCACACTGTACCTTGAGTTTGAGTGTTTCTTCTGAGGTCGTGGATGGATCACTATTCAGTGGCATGTCGATCAGTGTCGTGATTCCACCTATAAGGGCACATAGCAAACTAAAGATTCAATCGATCCTTATTTCAAATGCTAATATACCAATAAACTTCAATTTATGTGCATATATACCAGCAGCGGCTGCTCTCGTTCCCGATGGGAATCCTTCCCATTCTGTTCTTCCTGGATCGTCAAGATGTGCATGCCTGTAAATATGGACACAATGATATAACAATCTCACCCAAATTCACTAAAATTTCCAGTTAAAGCAAGCAATGGCTAAATTATTTATTTGACATGAAGAAAAAACATATAATGTTACATTAAACTTTCACCGAAAACTTGCTTTCGGAGTAATTTATAATTATTTTCTTCCCCATGTTTTACTCACCCTGGAAATCCTTTAATTGAAGAATCTATAATGATACAACGGAAAAAGATTTATTTTATTATTATTATTTTTTTTTGGTTATTTGTCATCTTACACATCAATCAATCCTGGCATAACAACAGCCTCCCCATAATCCATAATTTGATTAGTCCAAGTTTTTCCTCGCCAATCATCTCCTTCGACAACAGATACAATCTTCCCTCCTTTTACTTCAACTGTTCACCATTTATGTTCAAGAAAATTAGTTATTACAAAAGCAATGACACAAAATTCGATTGAATAAAGTCTGAAAATTTAGGCAGAGAAAAACAAAAGATTGATGGACTAGTTTCCATGATAATGCAAATATAACCGAGGCTAATCATGTTGTATGAGATGCTTAAACTTGAGGTTAAACAATAATATTCCACTGGATTAGTAGCCACCAATAAAGCAATCTCAGATAGAGAACCACATTTCAGATGGAAAAATTCTTTGAAAAATGCAGATGTCGAAAAATTATTACGGAAAGCCATTAGACGAGCGGTTCTAAAATCCCCCACAATTTACTTAAGAACGTCCACAAAAAAAATAACAAACTAACGAGTCGACTTTTTTTTTTTTTTTTACTTTGTATCAATCTGTAATAAGTGAAAATGATCATCTTCACCACAGCTTACCTGCACCAGAAATTACCGCACTAGGTGTCACAATACGTTTGCTAGCTATCCAAAAATGTCTATATTCTGTAAGGCTGCAGTTGCTTCTGTATGCCTGTAAGAAAAATCTTTATACAATGCATTAGCAATAATTTTACAATAGCCCATAACATGAAAATGACAGATTGCACAAAAATAATTGAGTCCAATTTATAGTGAAAGAATATTGAAATTAAGAGAATCTAATCATCTATAACAGAATTCATTGAATTCTGTAAAAGCAAGTATATATTGATTTTTTATACTCATGCAATGTGTGCAACTTGGGCACTTTGATTGGAGCCTTTGGCCTTTTGTGTTTATCTTTTCCCCCAAAAGTAAATTTGAATATTCAAAACACCATTTTTCTTATAAAGTCATTGTTATTATTCTTTTCTAATCAAACAACTGGCTGTTTCACCATCTTAAGTTTAGGGAAATGCTACGGTCCCGTTACGGAATCATCCCGTTGAGAGTTTTAACCGTTGGATACACACGTAGTTAGTACAAGATAAATGATCTAACGGTTAAAACACCCGACGGGATGGTTCCGTAACGGGACCATAGAATTTTCCGTAAGGGAAGTTTAAAGTAATCTTCGCAAGAACGCTGAAATCAATGGAATCACCATAGCGAACAAAAACATAAGAAAGCCCGTTAAATTTAACAGAAACTAAAGAAATCTTCTTTCATTAAATTTAACAGAAACAAAAGAAAATCTTCTTTCATGAATTGGGCACTTTATTGATTGATTGGTTTTTGCAGACTAATAAAAACTCAACCAAGCAGACATGTCCTGTGCAGATGAATCAAATCTCTAATATGCACGCTCATAGATGAAACTCCATGAAAGACATTCAAGACATAAATAACTTAATCCTGAGATAATACGAAGTCCCCAATAATTCCGAACAAGTTAATTCGAAAATCATGCGACATATGAGAAATCAAAGCAACCTCAATCCTGGGTCGTCCATATCAAAGAACCCCAGATGAAAAACAAAAAAAAACAAATAAAGATTCGTGCTTTCTCTGTTATTTTTTCAATTGGGTCGTGTGTGTCTGTGTGTGTGTGTGTGCGAGAACTCCAAGAACACCTGGTAAAAACAAAACAAAACAAAACAAAACAAAACGAGATCGAAAAGAAGAAAAAAGGGGCAAAAATCACACAGACAACATCGAAAATCTCCGAAGAACACCAAATTCAAACTCTGAAACCCACCCACGATAATATTATAATATCATAAAAA